TCTGTCTTCTGTTTTGTTGCAAGTGTCTGGATTTCATTCATTTTTTACAGTGGGGAGATATTCCATAGCATATATATATATTTTTTTCTTAATCCCATCATCAGGTGATGGACATTAGCTGTAGTAATTTGGGCTGCTTTAACAAGAAAGTGCAGGTAACTTTTTGATGTATTCCCAGGACTGGGCTAGCTGGGTTATATCATATACCTGTTTTGGGCTTTCTGAGCACACTTCATAACATCGTCCGCAGTGGCTGGACCAGTTCATGTTCCCACAGTGTATTAGGAATCCTTTGTTCCACATCCTCACAAACATTTCTGGTTTTTGGAACACAGCCTGTAGCCAGTCTGACTGGGATGAGGTGAAACTTCATTGTTGTTTTTATTTGCAGCTCCCTCGTGGCTAATGATCCTGGACATTTTTCCATGGACTATTGGTCATTTATATTTCATCCTTTGGGAAATGGCTTCACTCACTTTAAGAACAGCCTAGAACAGCAGGGCTGCATTTCAAGAGGGTAGGTTGTCCCACAGTTTCTTCTGAGCAGCAATGCGAAGTGGCAGTCCCCCAGCACGCACCATCACAGCTGCTCTCCACTGTGCTGTGGACACCGAGGGCAAGGCACTTGGAAGAGGATGTCCAGCATGATGCCCAGTTGCAGTTGGGAAACTTGTGTTTGTCTACTACTTATCTTCTGATTGGAGGGATGGTGAGAAGTCTGCTGGAGGCCACAAGAGGATGGGGAGGTTTGCAGGACGCAGAGCGGACCCCCTTTGCCCTGCGCCTTAGTTGTGGACTGTGGCTGTGTTCAGTACTCCCATACGGCCTGATTGCAAACTCAGATCTTGCCTGCTGGATGGATCTCCTGTGGGAGTTGGGGTGCACATGGTGGAGGAGGTGGGGATGGTAGGGGGTGGGTGGATAGTGGGGATGGTCGGAGCTCTGGAGGCTGCACACGGGGGCTCAGGGAGATGCAGAGGCTCTGAGAGCCAGCAGGCTCGTCCTGGCACAGAGGACTGGGATAGTGCATGATGATGCCCCAACTCCTGACTGTAGCCAGAGGTGCCAAGCCATGCCTAATCTAGGGGTTACCTTGGACTCTGCTACCCAACAAGTGCTGGTGCTAGTTCCTGATCCCATTTAACACACCTCTGAAATTTAAAAACAAATTACCAAAGGAGACATTCATATATAGAAACATAAAAAAGGAAGGCAATATGACTTCTTAAAAAGAATACAACACAATCATGTTGCAAAAAAAAAAAAGCAGAATGATTTTAAAAATGCCTGAAAAATAATCTGAAAGAATTATTGTCAAGTTCTTAAAAATCACAAATAGCTAAAGGTAATAAAAATCTCAGCCGATTCAAAAATCAAAACACAATGGATCAAGGATGCAAATTTGAGACCCAAAACAATGAAATTGATACAGAACAACGTGGGGAAAAAGCTGCAAGCATTTGCCCAGGCAGACTGTTTGGCAAGAAGACAGAAAGATAGGCAATAAGAGCAAAATGGACCGATGGGAAGACACTGAGTTAAGAAACTTCTAAACTGCAAAGGAAACCCTCCACCAAGTGAAGCCACAACCTACAAAATGGAAGAATATAGTTGCATGCTGTTCATTCAATAGAGAATTAACATGTGGAATTTAAAAGAATCTCAGCATTCGAACAATCTAGTTAAGGAAAGGGATTTGCTACCATTCACAGCAAAATGGACTCAATTGGAATATATCATGTGAAGTGAAATAAGTGGAGTAGGAAAGACAAATATTATCTGTTGTCTTGTGTGTGGGAGCTATAATTAGAAATAAAACAAATTAAATTTAAAAAGGAAGAGGTGAGGTGTATATCAATATTGTTGCAAACGCAGTTTTCTATGGAATATACTTGCAGGATGTGGGAAAGCCAAGTGGTAGTTTAACCCACTATGCCACAGTGCTTGCCCACTGACTTGTTTAATCCATAGAGGTTTTTGTCTTTAAGCACAGGATCATAAAATTAATCGTTTCTTCAGAGTTTGTTTTATAGTTGAACAGGGGGTCTTAGGATTCAATGCAATAGTTATTCTACAGAAATGAAAATGCATGCACTAAAATATCATATCAACACACCTTTGCAGTGCTGACGAGAACTCTTCTTAAAGGTGCTGTTGTCTTTTGAAGTAATTCGTCTTATGTCCGCTGTAAAATCCTGTGTTTTACTTCACGTGTCAGAGACCTTTAACCTCATGCTAGATACCACACGTTCACTGCATCTTAACTGCGATCTCATTGTTGTGCAAATTATTCCCCCCAGAAGCTTGCTTCAGCAGTAGAAACTCGATAATTATCTAAAATGAAAAACGATATTTTATTTTGTGCTCATCACTCTTAAAAGGATTTTTTAAAATTTAAATAATAAAACAAACAGTAAAAGAGTGAATTTCAGCATGCTGATTCAAAAACTACCTGACGTCTTGCATGCCATAACAAGGGCTCGGGTTGGAGTCCCATTCGCACTCCTGACTCCAGCTTCAGATGGGATGCTCAGACGGAGCCCCTGGGTCCTGGGATTGGACTCAGCCGTGGTTGCCCTGAGGAGTCTGTGAGTAATCCAATGGATGAGCGCGCTCTCTCTCTCTCTCTTACTCTGCACCTTAGAAATGAAGTGAAATAAAGAACATAAAGAAGTGGAATAAAGAACAAACTAATTATGTATTTAAGTAAAAATTCTGACAAACCCCCCTACCCGGAGCGTTTAGATTATTCCTTGTTTGTGGCTGCCACAGTGTCTAGGTTGGAGGAAGGCTTAATGGAAATTTCAAGCTTCTCACTACCTCCACCTCGTGGTGGGTTGGTGAATGTAATGTATTTTGCTGTGCTTAGATTGTTGGCTCAGCACCACTGTTCGGACAGGTTTAGGGAAAACAAACAAAACCATCAGTAGTTGCACGGAGAAGCTGCCCTGTCAGTCGTGTATGATTGTCTTTGTTTCTCATGAGCTCTTTCTGCAATCTCTTTTTGACTTAAAAATGATTATTCTATTTTGTTCGTGAAGGGCAAGGAATGAAGAAATTCTTTATCTTTCAGGTTGCAGGATTGATTGAAGTAAAAGCGCTATCCAATGTACATGAAACTTCTACTCTGTTCCAAGATGAAACCATGTCAAAAGAATACAGGGGCTGCAGTTTTAACATAAGGGACTAAGTAACCACACATGATGAGATCGTCCGTATCAGTGGTCCCGGCTGCTCTGCCTCCAGGTTAGCTCCCTGATAACGCACTTGGGCAAGCAGCAGATGGTCCAAGGACTTACAGCCCTGCCGCCACAGGTGACCGGAGTGCAGTTCCAGGCTTCCGGCTTTGTCCAGGCTAATCCAGATTTGTGGCCATTTCAAAGTGAATCAATGGACAGAAAGCTCTCTCTCCAAACCTCTCTGTTTCTGTCTTTCAAATAAATAAAATGAATGTTTATGTATACATTCAGTGTATTGGTATACATAATATGTAGATATAGAAATATATATTTATGTAATATGTATACCCCACCTGCTCCCCCTCCAAAACAAACACACACACACACACACACACACACACACACACACACGCTAACACAAATGTCATTGCTGAGATAAAATTAAACAGAAACAAGTGCTTACCCTATGGCTGAAGATCTAGATTATTCGCACATGTAATAGCCCTGCCCTTGGTAAAATGTTTGTGGTTAACTTCTGATTCACAATTAACAGCTGCCTGAAGGTTTTGTTAAATCCTGAACAAGATGACATTAGCATTAGCTTTTGAATTTGCGTTTGCTCTGTTTTCACCTTTTCTTTAAGATGTATTGTATTTATTTGAAAGATAAAGTGCCAGAGAACGAGGAAGAAAGAGATCTTCCATCTGCTCATTCACTCCCAAAAGGCCACAACAGCTGAAGCTGGGCCAAGCAAAGCCAGAGCCTTGTCTAGGTCTCCCGCGTGCCTACAGCAGCCCAAGCACTTGAGCCTCTGCTCCCTTCCTGTGTGGATTTCCGGCTTAGCAGGCAGCAGCACACCACATTATGCCACAGTGCTGGTGTTGTTCTGATTTCAAGCAACAGCTGTCAAGCCAGCAAGTAGAAAAGAGAGAGAGAGAGAGAGAGAAAGCAATTTGAAACACTCATGTTTATTAAGCTGATTGTGTGGCAAACTTGGGTGTACTTGCTAATCAATATTGGATGGTTCATCTTATTTGCAGACTGTCTTGTCTGTCAGAAAAGCTGGGAACACTGGAATCTTAGCAAATTTAATTCACTAGCATTATTTGTTATAATATATAAATGATTATATATTGTCAATTTAATTTATGACATCATTTAGGTTATATTTTCTAAAATTAATTTTCCTTCCAAAATTATGCAAGGTAATCAGTTTAACACTCATTATAAATGATAAACATTTTAGATTAAACTACTGACATTTCCATTTACTTTAAAGTGAAAGGCCACAGTTGATAGGTTGTTTATAGTCTCAAAATGTGTATTCTGCCGTTGACCACGTGAGGACATTAACAGACACAATACATGATGAAAAGGTTTCTTTCAGATCAGAGAACAATTTGGGAAGATTTATACTGAAAAGCTGAGATCTTTAAATGTTAACTCCAAGGTACAAACAAAACCAGATATTTTTAAATAACTTTGGTGGCAGAGAAAAACATAAAAAATAAAACAAATATGCAAATATGATGCAATAGGATTTTATTTAAAGTTTCCATTTGTAAACTTTAATACAACTCAGCAGGAGAAAGAACTAGGAGATGCATTAAAAATAATGGATATTTCTGTCATTAAAACAAAGCAATTTTGGCAACTTTTCCCAATGGATCCATTTTCCGAAGACTCAAATTCAAATTATTCCTGGTCCTTGATGAGGTAACAGCAGTCAACTTTGTAGACTAGCAGTAGGATAGGAGATTTATGGTATAGATCTTAATATCGTGAGCATCGGTTTAAGTTTCTGGCTCCTTAAATACGTAATCAATAGAAGCTAGATCCACAAGCTGGTTGGTGAGAAAAAGATTGGCAGCTTCTAGAAGAAAAGAAGGTTGGACGGTAAAAGTTGGATCTGTAATTTAGAGATGAGCAAGTGCGGGGCCCACAACCCAATGAGTTAAAACCATTGGATCCAAAGCCCGAGAACAGGGAGCCACAACCGAAAGAATGAAAGCCCCTAGACCCACAGCCCAGATGCGCAGCGTAAGTCGCTTGGGAGGGACTGTAGAACACCGTCCTGGGGCGGTAGTAGGATGAACTGCAAGGGCTGGACGCCACGTAGGACTCCTCGTAGCTGTTGGGATCGCAGTAGGCCTCCTGACAGCTGCCTTGAAGAGAGGAACCCAGCTGACAGCTGTTAGGAGACTGAAGGTCCGTGCTGAAGAAGACGTTGCTGGGGCAGGAAGAGCCGAAGGAGGACCCGGGGTGGCGCAGGTAACCGCCGAACGAGCGGGAGGAGAAGTTTCCAGAGCAGCAGTTGTAGGACATGGTGGCAGATGTGGCTGAGAACGGCAGGGTTGTGAGTGCGAATGTCACATCTGAGACTGGGGCCTTTATATATCCTGATGACTGGATGTGTCATGCTCATGGCACATGAAAACAAGTTACTTGCCGCTTCTAATTGAACTGAGAAGATCCCCATAGTCATGCATCTGTAGCTTTTTGTGGTTTGCAAACTGCAAAGTGCATTAATGTTCCTGCCTTGGAATTCAGGCAGTCGCGTTGAACCTTCAAAGCCATTATTCATCCTCGCTTAGCAAAGGTCACTCAGAGAATTGCTTTAGGGTTGGACAGTATATAAGCTTAGAGAAGCAGGCTTAATTAAAAATAATTGATACCCGCTTTCACAATCCGTCTCAACACTGCAGCCATCTACTTAACCAATCTGTTCACTGACTTATTCACAGTCACTTCTTTTAAACAAAAACATACACTGGTGGTCGCAGCAAAGTGGCACGCTTCAATCACAAACAAACCGAAAACATCCGTGGTGATACGTAAGACAGTAGAATTCTTAGAACTCGATCTGAATAATGTTAGTGAAATTTTAACCGAGAGATTTATTTTGTTCTATTCCTGTTTAAAATTGTAAGTGGATAATTAAGAACCCATGTTAGATTTTCTTTTTGTGTTTGTGGTAAATATTATGCATGCTGTATGATTTTTTGTTTTTACAGTTAAAGATAATCCCTCCAAGATGCCGGGGAAGCATTCAATAGAAGAACAAAACATGCAGCAAAAAATGCCCGAAGTTTTCCTGTCTCGAATCTGTGTTTCCCACTAACAAGATTCCCCAGAACCTAGAAGTGTCCTTGTTCCACAGACCGTTTACGAGGAAACGGCCTTGACACATGGGCTACAAGCAGATTCTTCTTTTGCCTCCGGAAGCAGCATACATCACTTTGATTTAAATTGTTCTCAAGTGTTTCTGACAAGTATTACAAAATCCCTACAATTGTAGCCATTTTTTTTTCCCTGCTATATGATTTGTACTCCACTTCCATGGATGGGTGAAATGAATTTATCTATCTTGAGGTAGAGGAGAGATTGAAAAAGGTTTATCTTACTAGGGCCGCTGTGCCACTTGACATACACATTTTTATAAAGTGTACAACTTCCTAACAAGAGGGTGTGTGTGCAAGGCGACCTCTTTCCTCTTAAGAAAGGAATGTTCAAAATCTCTTAAAACTTGATTTCATAGAATATTCTTCCAGAGACGAATTATATCCGAAGAGGTGACATTGAATCAAATAAGCAAGTTCAATTTAGGTGAGCTGAACATCGGCGTGAATGTTTCGATGTGCGATGTTTTATTGACAAATAAAATAGAAGGTTTGGAATTTACTAGAATGGTGTTTGCAATGCCTAATTGAGATTCCCAAAGAGATTGTTCTTATATAAACCACAGGGAAAACCATGTTGCCTTATAAATGAAACATAATGAGAAACCAATTTTTATAATCAAAATATTCAGACTCATGCAGACTACCATTTGGAAGGGGTTTGTACAATTATCTGCAGTCTCGTATCCTATTGGAATCTCATTTATAATATCCTGATTAGGAGTTCCCAATCCAAAAAGAAAGGTGAAAATGGTATTATCTGAAGAGAGAGTTGCTTTAAATGTTTCGGTAAAATTTCTGCCTAAGATTTCCTAGTTTGTGCCTCAGCTTGTTTGCATTCTGCAAGGTCTTAGCTGTAGGGATGATTTCCTTCTGAGGTCAGCCCACTCCAGCAGGTTCTTTATGGGAGTTCTTGGACCCATACTGTCTCTATTTACAGCTCATTCTCCAAGGCTTGGAGAGAGAACAGAAAAAATCCTCATGCTGTCAGACTTATAGGAAGAATGTATGAGGACATATTAAAAGATTCATGGAAAACAGAATTAAACAATAAGCTTGTTTCAGTGTGAATTTTTGAAATTGATAATTTTTTCAATCACATACATCTCCCTGAATGTTTAAAAAATTTACACAATATCCATGCAATATTTATATTTATTTATGGCATCCCAATTAGTACAATGGTTGTTGTTTAAATCAATGTAACCAACTTTTTCTTGTTTTTTTTTCTTTCTTTTTTTTTTTTTTTTGCTTTATTTTATTAGTGGAAGCTTGGACATCTTTTATTTTTTTCATAAACTATATAGTGGTTCATCATCAGCCATGGTCCCACCGCTGCCCTTTGTAACACCAGGACAACATTCTTAACTCTGGTTTGGTCTCCATTATCCAGATTCCTTCCCCCCCCCCCATTCTTCCAAGCCTCCTGTATTAGTATTCTGTGTTCAGAAGGAGATTTCTGATTCCACAGAGGTGAGTCAGCACACGGTGCCTGTTTGTATCTGCTCTTTTCACATAACATCTTATTCCCCTGTTCTATCCTTTTTAGTAGACATGGTGGAACATCATTTTGTGGCTGACTAGTATTCCATTGTGCCTATGCACCACATCCATTCATCTGAATGGCCATCTTGGTTGAATCAATGTCTTGCCTATAACATAGTGAAGCAAGTATCATTTTAATACAATGATTTCATTCCTTCTGGATGCATAATTGATAATGGAATTGTTGCATAACAAGACAAATTTATTTCTTATTTTTCCAGTTAGTTCTGTTTATAATTTTCCACATTTTTAATCCCTAACATTTATCACTACCTAACATTTGGGTTTATACAAAGACACTTATATTTGAAGAGTTCTAGCACTGCTGTAAGCTATTTAGAGATATTCTGGTTACTTAAGGAGCAGCCGCTCAGCTTTCCACTGTGAATGTACTAATTTCTCCAGATCTGTGTCATTGTTTGTTGCTTTCTGTCCTGGTGATAGCTGTTATAACAAAGGTGAAATGGTAATTTCATTTTGGGTTTGATTTGTAATTCCCTAATGGATGTGATATTGAGGATTTTCTCCATATATTTGCATCAATTTATGTAACTTCCTTTGACAAGTTCTTTTCAAGTCCTGCGTATATTTTTTGGTTAGGCTTTTTTTTTTTTTGAGTCTCTAGTGTGCTGTGAATATGAAAAATTTGCCAGATAACTTTTCTTTGGTTCTGACATTGTCTCTTCACTGAACTTTTTGAAGAGTCTTCATGTATACCGATTCAGGCATGTGCACATCAGCCATCTACAATGCATTCTCCTTCTGTTTCATATTGCCCTCTCTGATACACTTGTCCCACTCACATTTCAACTTATGAAGGTCATTGGCAAGTAGCAATACCCCAAATCTCTCATCTTTTGGTGAGGTCCATATAAGGTAAATATGTTCGTCTTTTTATGCTTTCACTTTAGCAGAAACAATCCCATCCCATCTTCTGAGAGGAAAGAAAGAAATTAAGGTTCATATGTTATGTATAGTGTTTTTTATGTTTTTGTTATTTTTCTCTGTATAATTTTAATACCACAAAAATTTATTTATGGACATGGGTGATATTTCTAGTCAATATTTTTCGTAAGTTATTTCAGGGAACAAGTGACACTAGGAAACAAGAAATTTCTGGACTTGCAATGTAATTAAAATTTTTTTTTTAAATACTGGACCTTTCATTTTTGAAAATTTGTGTACTTTAGAGTACCGGGGCTATTTGTGTTCTAAGGAAGCTTGAACTGTATGTGACAGGCACTCCTTTGGTGTTCCTACCAATTAAAATTATTGGGTGATGTCTTGCAGAATGTTCACAAGATGTGGCAGAAGGAACAGCTATAGAAGACTTCTTTTTCCGTTCTCAATGGAATTCCCTTATTTGGAGCAATATGAATGTCACCTTCACTCTGCAGAATACCTTTCAGAGCTTTAAACGCAAAAGAACGATTCTGTTGTCCTCTTGACCCAGTACTTGAAGGACATGGTTAAGGAAACTTCAATCTTACAGGTACAATTATGGTGGCTTTCATTTTGGTCAAGCTAGATGAATGAGAAATGGCATTTTTGTTTCATGAACAAGTGCTTTGACAAACTAATGAAATTCTATCACTTAAAAGTCTGCATTCATAAAAAAAGGTCTTTGAAGGTTAACACAGTTCATTTTGACTGGAGTCTAATTAAGTATTCTCATTAAAACAGACACAGGATCCTACACTCGCGGCTGGAGTATATAAGTGTTCCTCTGCTGAAGGTAGCCTTCACAGTCACAAACACCTCACTGGAGCTTAACTGAACTCAGAGCTCTTAGCAACATGTCTTACAGCTGCAGCTCTGGAAACTTCTCCTCCTTCTCCTTGGGAAACGGCCTGGAGAACTCGGTCTCCCCTTGTGATTCCTCCCACCCCAACAATGTAGTCTACTCCCCTGGAACCTACCAGGTGGGCTCCTCTCTCCAGGGTAACTGTCAGGAGACATTCTCTGAGCCCACTGGCTTCCAGGCACCCTTTGCTGTGACCAGACCCTGCCACACTTCTTTCTACCGTCCAAGGAATTCCATCTTCTTCAGTCCCTGCCAGACAAATTGCACTGGATCTGTTGGATGCGGGAATACTGGTTTTGGATCGTTTGGTTGTGGAAACACCGGCTTCCACTCTGTGGGTTGTGGGTCCAACTTCTTCCGCCCAAATCATTTTTCATCCAGAAGCTGCCAGTCTACCTGTTATCAACCAGCTTTTGGCACTCGCTGTTTTGGATCAAGTTACTAAGTATGTCTCAATGACTTATGATTATATTTCTGCACGTTATGGAGTTTAACCATAATTCTATGCAATATTTGTGTTTAATGTCCGTCTTCATCACAGGACTCACCATCATCTTCTATGAAGTATACAATTTGGACAGTATCTTTGACCAGAGAACTTTCCTAAATCTAAAATGCTGTGCATTTTGAGTTTTAATTCTTGTAACAGGGTTCAGAAAGACTTCTGCTACCATCTTTCACAACTCATGCGCTTATCATTCTAAAATTATTTGACTCAAGCTTATTTTGCATAGATGCATCTTCAATAAATGAATTATCTGGCATGAATACTGACATTTTCTTTTCTTTTATGAATG